TTTTTTTTTTGCCAGTGGCTTTAAACTGCAAATAAGTTAAAGAATATTTCTGTAGGTTAAATTTTTATTTTGTTTTTAATCATTTAAATTTATTTTGATTTTGGTGGGTACATGAGTATATATGCACTATATGGCATATTTTAATACAAGAATACAATATATAATAATATCAGGGTTAAGTGAGGCATCCTTCACCTGTAACATTTCTCCTTTGTTTTACAAAGAATCCAATTCTACACTTTTTTTTATTTTTATTTTTTATTTTTATTTATTTATTTTTTTGAGACGGCATCTCGCTCTGTTGTCCTGGCTGGAGTGCAGTGGCGCCATCTCGGCTCGCTGCAAGCTCCACCTCACGGGTTCACACCATTCTCCTGCCTCAGCCTCCCAAGCAGCTGGGACTACAGGCACCCACCACCATGCCCGGCTACTTTTGTATTTTTAGTAGAGACGGGGTTTCACTGTGTTGACCAGGATAGTCTTGATCTCCTGATCTTGTGGTCCACCCACCTCAGCCTCCCAAAGTGCTGGGATTACAGGCGTGAGCCACCGTGCCCAGCCACTTTTTAAAAATTTTAAAATATACAATTAAATTGTTATTTACCATAGGGTTATTTTTATGGTTGTAATAAAAATTATATATGAGCAAAAATAAAATTCATTTCTAAACTCTTAATATTTTTTCAAATTTGCTAGATATTTTTCTTTGAACATGTGGCCTGTCTGCCTGCAAACACAGACTTTTTGATTCACATAGAGTTAAATACATATTAGTCTAAAGACAAACTTTAGATGTAAGAAAATTATGGAATAAGTGTGCGTGTGTGTGTGTGAGTTTGTAACTATTTTCAAAAGAAAAGAATAATATGGTAACAAAAATCATTTTAATAAGGTGACTACTATAAAACTAAAAACCTAAAAAATACCAAAAGCAAATGTATACTTTATGCTTTGTATTGAATTTATTACTGTACAATCCATGACTTAACAGTTCTGAATCTTTTCATGCAAACTGTCTGTATATACTTGCCTGATACTCATGCTAGACCCATACTTCGTTTCTAACATATTTTTTTGTTTTATAGTTTAGGAAGTATTATATGAGCTGGTCTGTGATTATAAGAATTTTATGAAATTTAGTGCACACAAAGTAATTTTTAGATGTAATTCCAAAAGTAATATATTAAGTTACATTTTACTTAGAGCAGTTGATTTTGTTCTTTTAAGGAAAGAACAATAAGTTTTGAGTTTTCTTTAGTGATTGTTCCTTTCACTTTTTATAATTGACATGAGTATATTTATTTATTGAGTCAATTTGTTCAGGTAAGTACTAGGGACGCTTCATAAGTCATGAGGATTTTTTATATATAAATGTGGCAAACATATTACAGTTCTTACTGTGTAATCAATGCTCCATAATAATTCATAAGTATTCCTGCTGGAGTTAGTTTGTAATTTCAACTCAGATGAAAAATATCAATGGTGAAGAAATAAGATTGATTCTTCATATGGAGTGGACCTTTTTTCCAGACTATAAAACAATTTTGCTGAATTTATAGAGAAATTCTGGCCGAAGCAGATGCATCACCTGAGGTCAGGAGTTTCAGACCAGCCTGGTGAAACCTGGTCTCTAGGAAAACTACAAAAATTAGCTGAGCATGGTGGCATCCACCTGTAGCCCAGCTACTCAGGAGGCTTAGGCAGGAGAATTGCTTGAACCCGGGAGGCGAAGGTTGTGGTGAGCCGAGATTGTACCATTGCACTACAGCCTGGGTGACAGAGCAAGACTCCTCAGAAAAAAAAAGAGAAATTCTGCTTATTTTCTACTTC